TTTTTTTTTGTTTTGTTTTGTTTTGTTTTTTGTTTTCTTTTGATTGTTGTTGTTATTCAGTATCTTTTACTTGTTCGCTTTATTTAAGAAATACAGTTTGCCATTATTGTTATTTTTTTATTATTAGGAAGGCAGGAAGAAAATTTTCTATCAAGAAGTTATTAAAAGTTGAGGAAGCTAAATCGAGAATTGAGATCTTTATTCGTATTTGACACCTTTATGCAAGGTAGCCCTTTCTGTTCAGTATAAAATGTTACTTATATGTAAGAGGAAAGTCTGCCATGCAGGAACTACTATACGATGGAGACATGATATATAAACACTATACATATTTCGAACCAATAGTATGGTACAGGACTTGGTGAAAAAGTAAGACTAAAAAACTTGGGAAGTTATTGATTTTATTTTAAAGAGATTTTTGACGTTAAAAAAATCAACAGGAAAGATATAACGTTAACAATCATTCTGTTGTTGAGTCTAAATTTTTGTTTGACCTTTAAAAGACAACTTTGAAAGGCATAAAAAGACATACAACTAATAACATAATTTTTTGAAGGTAACATTCATTTTAACACTATTGGTTTGGCTTTAAATCAATTACAGTCGAAGGGGCATACCAATATAATAGTTTTTAGATGTGCTACTCAATGGTTTGACTTATCTACAACCCTTCTGTTAAAGTTTCAGCGAAACATCGCCGAGTGTACGTCATTTATTACAACAATAACTGAATTGATTTCTCATAGAAAGGATATAAATTTCCTAAGGAAGATTTACTTTTGTTTGAATTTTCTTCGAAGTGACAAGAACTACTGATTGGTGTAAGAAATTGACCTTAGAGTGTTTTGCTGCACTTCTTGCACACACAAGAAATGAACGAGATAGATTTATTCTAAATAGGCGCTCTTTCATGTGAAAGTTCCATATGATTTCTTAACAACGAGTTTGCTAACTTCGCTTTGTTATCAATACAGTGCGTATTACGGTTGCTAAACACCACATTTCTCTTGGAAGTTCCTTATATAATGTTTTTTTTAATAAGCGTGTAAATATGAACTGAAACTAGAAATAATAAACCTTGATATCTCCAAGATGCATCACTCAAACCATATAAAAAAGTTTACCATTCAGCCATAGTTAACTATTAACTATGATTCAACTATTTAGTTCATTTAGAATCAATGCTAAAAATTTTGAGTTAGGTGTCATAGGCACTGAACGTTCTAACAGTGCACGGATTTGTAAAGAACTGCGCTAGAGATTCACACTTCACGATGAATTTGTCCAGCATGTTTTGAATTATTTTACGTACTGGCTTATAGCATACAAAGGGATGCCAATGCAAAGTAAAGCTTAGTGCTGCTGTTTGCCTGGCGGCTCTTGCTTGCATATTAAAACATATTGAAATTAAAAAAACAAACTTAAAAAAATAAAAAAATAAAAAATATATATATATATATAGCGCGAACCAAAATATATTCTATATTAGATACCTCCCGCATCAGTCACCCTGTTTGATCGGTGCTGGAGAATCATTCTATGCATTAAAATAGCAATATCGATTATAATAATAATCATGCACGTATAAAGTACCTACTGGGACTCTTGTGCTCTTGTTTTTTTCACTCAACAAGCTTTTTTCCTTTTTTGTTTTTTGTGTGTTTTTTTCTTTTTTCTTTTTTTGCTTTTCATTTTTCTAGTTCTAGTTGTGAAGGCAATAAAAAAAWTTATTAAAAACGGATAAAATTAATAACTCGAATGAGTTCGGACCAATTGCACTCTACTCAGTTCAATTACCATTATATATAGAGGTAGCACCATGCTAAGAGTCGACATACAAAAAAAAAATTACCAATTTGTATCAATAACATTTGTCAAAATTGCAATCGATTTCGGCCATGAAGAAGAGTAAGTAGTAGTTATTCTAGGGCACTTTATTTTCTTTATCCGTGTTAGCACTTTTGATGCGTTTTTTTTTTTTTTTTTTTTTTTTGGTTTTTTTTTTTTTTTTTTTTTTTTTTTTTTTTCTTTGTTTGGTTGTTGTTGTTGTTGTTGCACTTGCACTTGCACTTGCACTAAGTCAAATGCATAAAAAAAAGCTAAACAAGACATTCGCAGTTACACTAAACAAACATTGTCGATTAATTATTTAGCATTAAAATATTATTTCCTTCGAATCCTTGCTTGATATTATGTGTGAAAGTTATTGAAGCTCAATCAAATTGATTCTTTCTTTTATCCCCAAGGCACTTCACAAGTGGTTACACGGCAAACGAACTTATACCCTAAAGCGCGCTGGTAAATACGAAATCAATTGGAAATGATTAAAGCTGCATGCTCTAAATTATATACTAATTTTTTAATAGTAGAAATTATTTAGGCCTAGGTTATGATGGTTTAGACTTATAACATAAACAAGCACTTGGACAAGCAATTGGACACACGGACTGGCGAGTTTAAAACTCTAGATTTGAATTCTGCTATATAAACAACATAAGGCCAATGCTTCCTGGCTATTTTTAGTTTGTTTCTATTTTTCTTCTTATTTATTCTTTCTTTACTTGTTTATTTAAAGATTTCTTGAGAGTTAAATAAGAACGCCGTTCCAGCAAAGACATAGACGGCTTGCCATGAATCACCTTCATAAATACTTGAATGATTTCCATTATACGGCTTCTGAAATTGCTACCTCAGTAGGCTACATCTCCCACATCTTTTCTCAATCACTTGCGTAAGTAATTGTCAGAGTTATGACGAAGTATGGAGGGTAAAATGATACAATTAATGAAGACAGTATAATAATCAAGACATGTACCTCGATTAGACAAAAGTTGCCAGTTGTCAGCTTCGTACCAACTAGAAAAGACCAGCGATGGCAGAACTCTACGGCGACAACAAGCCTGCTCAAATTGGCATTGCTGTAGCCTTGTCCATGCTTGTGATGACTGACTTCATTGGAAACATCCTGGTTATACTCGTTATTCTGACCAATAGATCCATGAAAACTCCAATCAACTACCTTCTCATTAACCTTGCAATAGCGGATATCATGGTCGGGCTTTTCATGGCACCGCGATTCATCTTCAGCCAATTTTTCAATCATCCTGATGGAATCGGAGGAAAAGTGATGTGTAGTCTACTGACTGGAGCAAACATTGCCTGGCTTGCTTTGGTCGCATCATCTGCGTCTCTGGTTGCCATCTCGTTGGAACGATACTTTGCTATCGTACGCCCTCTCTCCACAAAATACAGACTTACCAAGACGAAGGTCAAGCGTACAAGCACCCTCTGCTGGGTTTTCGGTTTGGTGATAAATCTCCCATTGTTCTTTATCAGGGTTTATGACAAGAAAGACAAACTGTGCGTAGAATCATGGCCAAAGGATAAACAGTGGCTTGCCATTGCGTACAGTGCAGTTTGGTTTATTGCTGTGGGTGTCGTTCCCATAGCAGTAATGGTTGTCGTTTATTCTAGAGTCGTTTACGCCCTTTGGTTCAAGCGTTCCCAACAACAAGGTACTCAGCAAGCCCTACAGAAATCAAGAAAGAGGGTGACCAAGATGGTAGTCAGCGTCAGTGTCATTTATGCCGCCTGCATGCTTCCAAACCTCACTATGTATCTTCTGGATTACGTTACTGATCAGAAAGAATACGACGTTCAGTATATAATAAGCATTATACTGTATGCCCTCAACTCATCCATAAACCCAGTCGTCTACACTTTCCAAAGCCAGCATTTTCGACAACAGATGAAAAAACTGGTTTGCTGTGGAAAACTTCCTGCAGGTGTTGACTTGGAAATATCTAATATCTCACTTAATAAATCCCGATCATATGTCGTTTCCAGTGCCACAAGTCTAGAGACCATTGCTAACTGAGCATGTCGCTTGCTCGCTGATGAAGAAAATCAGCAAACTAAACGTTTGGTCAACTACCTTTCAGTAATATAAATGTTTTATTATATATAATGCAAGTCTTGACTGATTGCACTGTAAAACACTTACGTCAGCACTACAGCACTAAAGGCATGGTATGGACAAAGTTATTTAAATGGACCGTTTACTCTTTTCAAGGTCATGACAAAATGCAACAAAATAGACTGTTTATTCAAGAAGATGCTTTTTTTTTTWAATAATATAATAGCCCACGTTGGTTGAGCCCATAAAGTGACTTCATACCTGCTAAGCTTATAAAATGACGGAGGACTTCTCTTTGGATTAATATTGAAAACAATATTTATATACACCTTCTTGCAAAAAGGTTGTCAGAAGAAAATTGGAAAATAAACCTTTATTAATTTAGTAAATTTTAAAATAGCTTTTTTACACTAGAAAAACTTACGAAACTAAAACCACAAATTCTATCGATGCCTGGCCTAGTATGATCGGATTAGGACACCCAAGTCCGACCTCTTAAATTATTTATTCCTAATCAGTAAATTTACTAATATTTACTAAATTACTTAAAGTTGATTTTTCAATTGTCCTAGGACAATTTTTTTGCAAGTAGGTGTATATATCTTTTTTATTTAAAGTGTTGACTTAAGTATTTTACTGAAATTGACAAGACACTTGATATCTAAGCATGATATTGACGAAACTATTTAATTGAATTATATGTTTATAATCATGGGGAAAAAAGCATTACAAAAACTGACTGTATAATCCATAATATTTTACCTTTTTCTTTTTGAATTGATAAAGACGTTCGATGTCCAAACGTCGTAAGTTAGTTTGAAATTTTTTCAGTAGATTTTATAGAATTTTGAATATTGGGTATTTTTAATCATTTGGCAAAATATTAAATCGATAAGTTTTGGAATCCGTTGTTTAAGAGATGTCCTAGCTCTTATTTAACTGCCATGCTATTTAGTACGTCACTGGCAAACATCTTGTCGATCACCTCTTGCGTATTTTAAGATAGATATATTTATTTCACCTACATTTTATTTTCTTATTTGTTTGTTTGTTTGGTTTTGTTTGTTTTTTTCTTTTTCTTTTTCTTTTTTAAGCGGCACCCATATATATGAATAAACCAGTGTTGCTATATACCGGGTATCTGGTAGGACCTATACCTATAATCCATTTGGTTTTCTTATTGCCACTTGCACTTGCACTTTTAATTGAAGTTCCATTGCTCCTTTTACGGTCAACTAATATACAATAAGATAGCAGATCTTGCAGATCCTTCAAAAAAAATTTTTTTTCTTTTCTTCTTCTTCTTCTTTCTGTGATAAAAAAATTTCCATTCGGAAAAAAAACCCAAATCACAAATTGATTGTCGAAACGTTTAAGAGATACGACAAAATAATTCCACGTAAGGATAGTCGTTCATCAATTACCCTCCCCATTTTCTGAGCTAACCGCCGTCGTCTGTTGTGCGGAAGGTCGTGGTTCAAGCCTCGGCCGGACCAACACCCAGGGTCTTAAAATAACTGAGGAGAAGTTGCTGCCTTTGTAAATAGATCTGCAAATGGTTAGACCTTGGAAAGTCTTCTCGGAGAAGGTCTTAAAACAGTAGGGCTCCGTCTGTCTTTACTATATAACTTGGTATAAGGCGTACGTAAAGGATCCACTGAAGATCCGCTGCTGAAGACCATCTTCAGTACCAGTGCTAAACACAAGACGGCCACAAGTTAATCAGTTACCAAAATTACTGTCACGTGTTACCCTCATTAAATAATGTCTTCAATCAATCAATCAATCAGTCAAGCTTAACAACCAAAGCCCCACCGAATGAGCCCACCAACAATGACATATTCATTATCAGATCCATCTTGATGAATAGCATAAATGTTGCCTACTATGAATATTATTATTATATGATAACTTTCATTAAATCATTAAATTGAAATATGGGTTGTACGATATTCTTAATTTTTTACTATTTATTTTCTTAATTTTAATAATTATAATAATATTTAATACTTGATATTGCGCATTCTAACATTCTAAATATGATCGAGTGCGCATAATACTTTATTTTATTTTTTTGTTTCGTTTCTGCTATCGCAGTAGTCTAGTAGACCTAGTTAAATTAATTTATTGCGCTGCACCAATATGTTTTTGTTTTAAAAGTTCACTTGGTAATTTTGATCGATTTTCCTACAATGACACTGACCAACGGAGCCAACTATAATAAATTAAACTTATTAATTCGATCACTTAATTATTCGATCTAGCAATACAAATTATACAAAATATTATTGTTCAGTAGATAGACTTTTCTCTTAATGTTAGTGTAGTTTGAGCGATCTGGTTCTTCTTTGCAAAATAATCAATTATTAATAAATGATAACAAGCTAAGGCGGTAGTCATGATATGCTAACTCTAATCTTAACTGTCTAGTCCAATATCAGTCAGTCAACAGCAATGCTCAACCAGGCTACGCCAACCTGATTCTATCACGAACATCGGTTGACAACCACTGGCCTTCTTCCCCTGGAAGCTGTCGTTATTTGATGGATAAGTAGACTTTTATACGTAGATAGTGTCATTGCTTGAGAGACTTTCTTACTTTCTCGTTGTATCTCCTGCCCGCTGTTGTCTGTGCATTAGGGCGTGTCTAAATGATAATAACAATAACAGTAATAATAATAATGATAATTTTACAAATGGTCTTGAGAACAGAAACTAAGCAATAATTTTTAGATATATAATGAGTCCTTTAATGCTAAGCATGTTTCGGCAGTCCAGCTGCCATCACCAGTAGTAGATAATATAGATCACAAAGCTAACTAGTTWTATAGCAAAAAAATATATATCAATATGTATATAGTGATTACAATGTATATGATGCGTAAAGAAAACAATTGTGCKTAACTTGTTTAAGTGCTTAACTTGGCTATTGAGGGAAGGGTTTTCCTATCGGATATAAATTGATATAAAACTAGTTAGCTTTGTGAACTAAATCAAGGTTTTCTCTCCTTTTTTTTTTTTTTTTTTTTTTTTT